AAGCATTCGTCGATTCGGATTTTGCTAGCTTTGGTGGCACAGTATGGATTGGAGTTAGATCAGTTGGATGTGAAGACAGCATTTCTTCATGGTGATCTTGATGAAGAAATATATATGACTCAGCCATTGGGATTCCGAGCTGCAGGGAAAGATAAGTTGGTTTGCAGGCTAAAGAAATCGCTATACGGTTTGAAGCAGTCTCCTCGACAGTGGTATAGGCGATTTGATGGTTTTATGCTTGGTCATTCGTACACTCGGAGCCAGTTTGATCCTTGCGTGTATTTTCACAATTTGAGAGGAGGTGCGTACATTTATTTGTTGCTTTATGTCGATGACATGTTGGTTGCTTCTAGTTCCAGGTCAGCTATAGATGAGTTGAAAGTTCAGCTTTCGAATGAGTTTGAGATGAAGGACTTGGGCGAGGCGAAGCGCATTTTAGGGATGGAGATCGGCAGAGACAAGAAGAAGGGCAGAATTTGTTTGACACAGGTGGCTTATTTGAAGAAGGTTCTACAGCGATTCCATGTTAGCATGGATACGAAGCCAGTTTGTGTACCGTTGGGAGCCCATTTGAAGCTTTCAGCTGACCTTTCACCGAAGTCAGTTGAAGACCGTGAGTTGATGTCGAAGACTCCATATGCGAGCGCGGTTGGGAGCTTGATGTACGCAATGGTATGTACGAGACCAGATTTGTCACAGGCGGTAAGCATGGTATCGAGATACATGCACGATCCAGGAGTGAGTCATTGGGACGCCGTGAAATGGATTTTGAGGTACATTCGAGGTACGCTCAATGTTGGTTTGGTTTATGAGCGGGACACTACAGGTGGGCAGCTATGCATTGGCTATGTGGATTCGGATTATGCCGGGGATTTGGATAAGCGCCGGTCTACGACGGGGTATGTGTTCACCTTGACCCGTGCGCCGGTGTGTTGGAGATGCACCTTACAGTCGACGGTGGACGGGGTATGTGTTCATTTTGACCCGTGCGCCGGTGTGTTGGAGATGCACCTTACAGTCGACGGTGGCTTTGTCTACGACGGAGGCAGAGTATATGGCAGTTACGGAGGCTGTGAAGGAAGCTATTTGGCTTCGAGGACTTTTGGAGGAACTTGGTATATCGCAGAGGTCCGTCACTATTCATTGTGATAGCATGAGTGCTATCTATTTGGCGAAGAATCAGGTTTTTCATGCGCGGACGAAGCACATTGACGTTCGTTATCACTTCGTTCGGGATGTTCTTGAAGATGGCGATGTGGAAATTGTGAAAGTCCACACGAAGGATAATCCGGCAGATATGCTCACTAAGGTGGTTCCGAGCAACAAGTTTGATCATTGTCGAAACTTGTTGCACATTCGTAATTGTTGAGGCCGTTGTCGGCCATTTGGGTGAACTACGTTTGGCTTGATTCCTTGGGCAAGCGGATACGTAGGCAGTCTTTCAGATGCAGCCGGTTTGGATTAGTTGATGGGGGTGAGATTGTTTGGACTCTCGTTTGGGTTCTCGACTTGTTGTGGATTGAGTCTGTACTGGACATAACAAGTGGGACATTTGGTTGCTTTGATGTCGGCTCAGTTTTAAGAAAACTTCGCCGAGGTGGAGAATTGTGATCGTGGGGGCCACACCCACGTGAAAGCAATGAAGAGAACGAACAAAAAAAGGCCCACCCGACTTCAGCCACCCGACTTCAGCTGCATATAAATATCATTGTAAATTTCTCCTTAGGTTTTCGGTGCAAGGGGTTTGTGCGGCTTCGGGCGTGTGTGAGGAAGTTTGGCGGCTGCAAACTTTTCGGCTGCAGAACAGAAGCAAACACGTGATTTTGTGGCGGCCATAGGAGTGCAAAGACAGAAGAAAAGTTGGGTTTTTGCATCCTTTTGTAGAGAGAGTTTGTGAGGGATTTAAGAGAGTTTGTTTGAGGGTTTAGGTTGAGAGTAATTGTAAACCCTAGTTGTAATCTCTCCCTCTATTAGTAGATCTCCCCCCTCCTTGCCCCGTGGACGTAGGCTATTTGCCGAACCACGTAAAAATTGGTTGTACTGCTTTTGTGTGATTTGTAATAGCTTTTAGGATCCCTCGACAGGTCAGTCCTAGAACTGATGAGAGGAAGAGCCGATATCTCACTTGGTTGAGATATCCGCTTCAGATTCTTGTCTCCTTGGTGAGACGGGAATTCTTATTGCGATCTGACTCTCTTGTTGTGCTGCCGAAGTGCTGCCGAAATTTCCGCTGCGCGCAACAGGGCCCTCCTCTGACCTGCAATCTTGGAGCAACAACATGACACAAGCATCTTAAGATCATCTACCATTTGTGGGCTAATCAGACGTTAGTCTGCTCGACCTTTTCGAAATCGACAACCATGCAGAACCAACAAAGCTAACGACATCACATGATTTTCCACTATCTCGATCGATCTAAACAAAAAACCATGAGTAGGCGACACCGGCTACCAACATTTTAGGATCTTCCACCGTCGGTGAGCTCCATCGTACATGGGCTACCAAGAATGTGATATTTTGGTTGACTGATTAAGCCTCAAACATGGAGAAACCAAATCTCCCGGAAGTTGAATAAATATCGAACAAAGATTGAGAAGTAGGAATCGATCCCAACTTTCTAATAAAGTTTATCGCTTTTATCTACTACTTTCAACGTAGCACTAGACTCAGCGGTCGAAAAATCCCAACATTGATTGATATTATTCTTTTCCTCCATTCATTCACCGGTCATGGATCAAGCAAGAACAGCTTCAATTGTTGGTTAGTATCTCAGCAGCAGGCTAAAGTTTACAGTTGGCGTCGCACCTTCACGTGTTTACAAAATGCCTTGGAAGCAGCTAATCATCAATAACATCGACGGATGAGAACTTAAAAAGAACGTTAGGGTATTAAAATTTGTTGATTTCGACATTTGCAAGGCTTGACATCCAACAACATTAACACGCAATTTTCAAATCGTCATTACCCCGAAAATGTGCGATCACATCACAGAATTGACCAAACTATAGAGTAACAGATCAAAGCACGCTATCTTCCACCGTGTGCAGCGTATACATCGTCTCAAAAATAGTACAAAAGGAAGAAAAAAAGAAAACATCATCGTCCAGCACATGTAAGCAATTTGATAACTTGAAGAACGAGAGGCTCTTTCAGATGGAAAAATTCTCTATCTCAAGGAAATTCCATGGAGAATTAATAACAAGACTAACTCGCAGTTTCGTAATCCAGTTGCCATTTGGATACTGCCAGTTGAGTACAGATTAAACATAATTCTTCTACTCTGAATATCACGATTACGCTGAGCACAGTAACCATAATTCAATGTTTTGAACACCCAGAAGCTGATTGCGTTTGATTTCAATATCGAAATGTTTAGCCTGAAATTGAACCGAAACATGTTCCTGCTAACCTCACACCACCTCTGGCCAGAATTAAGTTGATAATGGGGGACGATTAATATATGGAAATTTTGATGGTCCAAAGGTCAAGTATGGCAGTGATTGAGGATTTTTACAGGACAGTTAATATATCAACATGCAGAGGAAGTAAATCTATAACAGAAACAGAAGGGGTAAAAACACAAAGACAGAAAACTGGAAGATTGCGAGGCAAAACATACCGTGTTTCCCATCTTCAAAGATAGTGCAGCTCAAATATAAAGCAGAGTTTCCTTCTATATAAAGCTCACCCTTGCCCTCAAAATCCAGTAAAGGAGACTAAATTTGAAGCAGCTTCGAAATAAAGTCATTATTTACCTTGGTATCTAACCCCATATAACTAACTCATAGCATTGCCCTCTGAATGAATCCTCATTCAGGCTCCTTTCGAGCTTATGAGCAGAAATTCACGCGACAGAAAAAAAAAACTCAAGAAATATACATTGAAATGGAGATTACCTTGCGCATAGACAGATTGAAAACATTTTGTACTGACGACGCCTGTATCAAACAGTATCAGCTACTGAATATAATAATTGACAATTCCATACACTTTAACAGTTTTTTTTTTAAATCTATATGTAAAGCTTCTTCGTGTTTACTGAAACGAGGAATGGTATGCTCAAATTAGACTGATATGGCTGATATGGGCAGGTATATGATGGATCATTTGATAGTTCTTCAACATATCAAAGCTAGTCTTGCTCAAAAGAAATGCACTTTATAAGCTACGTTCAGACATTCAAAGATAAAATAAGTATGATGATATGCAGATGAAATGGATAGGTACCTAGAGGATGCAGGTAAAAAGGATACATATCTCGTGGGATATTACAGAATTTTATAGTTCTTCAATGTATATCGGTAAATCTACCTGGAAAGAACATACACTAAGTAAAGACTTAAGACAACTTCTGCAAACAAGACAAGTATAATAATGATATACACAAATCAGATGAACTCCATAGGTATCTCGATTTATATTTGATAGTTCTTCAACAGATCATGGTAAATCGAACTCAAAAAGAATATGCACTCTTAGGAGTCTTCAGACAGCTGCTTAAAAACAAGATATACCTTCTTAATACCAAGGTTGCGGCCTCAAGAATGCTAATCATAGACAATTTTTGAGATAGGAATTATTTGTAAAAAGAACTTATCTGTGCATATCCTATATGTGGTGCTATTCAAATCTTCCCTCTGCTGCACCATTCATATACCAGAGTTTAATCAGAATTGGACTTTCTCAGGAGAATAGTTAAGTCCAAATATGTTCTGCTAATTCAGTGGGTTATCAAAGAAAGATATCAAAGTGAGGTCCGCTTTATGCTAATGGAACTCTTAAGCATAGTTTTGACTACAAATTTGAACAGTCACATCACTATCATTAGAGGTTTGAGCCATTTTGAGAATCGGAGCAAATTCTGGATTCATCAATATAGGCATTGCCCTAAGTAACAGGTAAATTACAGAGATTCATAATATGACATAAAGCAATAATGGGCATCGTGACAGAGAATTGGCTACTATACTATGCTGATTGCTGACATACAAAGAAAAGATTAATACATGCATGGTAAGTTTGGGATTCCACAAATGTAGCTTCCAAATTTAACATAGGAAACACAACATAGACCTGTGTTTATAAAAGTAGAAACTAATACTTTTCTCATGAATTCAAGGCAATGCTTGAATTGCAATCATCAAAAGAATATGCTTTACGATTCTGTAAATACAAACAGTCAAAAATCTTTTTCTCTGGGTAGGATATGTCCTCAGAACCTATTCTGAATTTTAACATCATAATGTGAGCTTAAGATATATTACCATCCATCATCATCCTCCGCAACAAGACGACAAATAGAACTCCAGTAAACCCCTCTTTCTGAGAAGCCATTCACCAAAACTAACTTGCTCTTTACAACAAAATCCAGATCGTACAGAGTACACATGTGCCCAATGCTCAAAACTTTGAGATTATTCCATATGGTAATGGGAACAGCCAATAATTTCCTATATTAATTGTCAATTAGTAAATGAATAAATAAATAATGTATCAGAAGAATCAGGTTTTACGTGTTTAAATTGATGGAAAATTTCCGCCAAAACTAAGTGTAAAGTGAGAACTGGGTATTTCCATTGAAGACAGGTGAAAATTATGTTTTTGTTATATGGATAATACAGTAAATTGTAGCTATCACTACATTTCATCTTTTGTTTAAGAAAATGTTGGAGAACTTGGTATAACTTTCACAATTTTGAAGATTTCAACTGTGATGTGTGCTTCTGTTTCAAGTTTCCTCTTGGGGGCAAAAATTACATCTATGGACATATATTTTGGTTTCAGTGATTAATATGCATATGAATTATATACAAATACACATACTGTATACTATGGATTTTATGCATATACCAGATACATAGATCCTATATATTATATAATATATGTATGGAAAATATAGTTTTAATGTATATGTGTATTTTTTTGAGAAATATATTTCTCAGATATATGTAGGAATTAGGTATTAGTTTTGGATTTTTAGATTGAATTTATTCGACATTTCGACAAATACCAGGATGCTTCAAGCAAAACTGGCGGTAACATACTGCTACACACTGAAGTTGACAAAACATGCAGATACAAGCTGAAAATGGGTGAATTGTCAATGACAAGCCTGAACTAGTCATTGCTAATGTTCATAGCTATGAATGAAAAAAATAGCAGACAGTAGGACACATCGGCTGGAACTGAGCATATCTAATCTGTCTACAATCTTTGTGCCACTGAAATGGAGACTAATACATTTAGATCAATATCTAATTTCTTGGTTAAAGGTCATTGCATCAACATCTGAATATCTGGGACTCGATGGAATGGTTCTACGTACAAAAGTTTTGGAGTTGTATTAGGTCTCTCATTGATTGGGTGGGTTGCTTTAAGTATAAACTATAAAACGGGAAAAGCAAGCCGCTTTGACAAGATATAACAGAGACTGGTTTGCTCAGAATTATCAGGTTAAGAACAGAGAATAAAGAGAACTGTGTTTCAACACAGAAACCAAAACGGAATAGAAGATAAAGTTGATATTGAAGAGAGAGAAAAGGAGCTAATTGAGTGGTAATATCATTTGAGAAGTACGAACAGGCCCTTTTCTTACTATATACTAACAGCAAACAGTTAATGTTACATAAATATGTTGCATGCACAATCAATTTACGTTAGCACAATTTTCATCTCGTAAAGCAAGAATAAATAACTGAAAACAATAGGAAACATAGTTCAGGTGTATATGCTGGCAAATGACTATTAGCTCTTGTCTAAAAATATCCGCAAATAGGCTGTAGACTTGGATAATCCAAGTTAACAGACATGGCAGTATGATAATTGTTCTCGCTGAGGGATTCTCAAGAAGTTTAATAAAAGATTTTTTGCGAACAACACTCAAGTCCTTTGTAGCAAAACTTCACTGTATATGATTGACACATGCCGTTTTTATTTATTTAAAAGGGATCATTAACCTGACTTGCCTTGCGTAGAGTTCTAAAAGATGTTATGACATATATGGCTTTCACATAAAGAGAAAGTCATGCATATTATTCCAAAACTCGTGCATAATAGAAAGTTGATGCCCTGATAGATTGGTGATTTATCGATACTTAAATTTTATGAAATTGAGCTATACTCCTTGTAATAAAAAGGGAAACCCAGTTCATGAAGCTCCCACAGTGTGCTACGCGGAGCTAGTGATGGTTAGAACACTTTCAGTCTATTGTACCTTGCGTTTTTACAAGATGTTATTTCCACAACTCCAAACCCAGTTCATGAAGCTCCCACAGTGCGCTACGCGGAGCTAGTGACGGTTAGAACACTTTCAGTCTATTGTACCTTGCGTTTTTACAAGATGTTATTTCCACAACTCCAAACCCAAGACCTCCAAGTCAAACGGTGATGACTATTACCGTTGCATCAAGGGTCCCCTCCATATGTACTCTCGTGATGCAGTTTTAAACATTGATGAACATTAATACTATTAGAATTAGGGTTGCGCACTGGGCCGGCTTGGCCACGAGCCCGCTCGTTCGACTCAGCCCAACCCAGTGCGAGGTGGGTCAAATTCAGCTCGCTACAGCAGCAAGCCGCGAGTCCTGTTGGGCTGGTCCTCAGCCCATATGTGCTAGCAGCTTGCTCGGCCCACGAAGCACAACAAGCAAACTGTGCCTACATGTGGGCGGACCAGCACGCTAGACCTGTCTTGTGGCCTGCCCAAATTAAAATTGTTTTTACTATACAAACACCTTGCAATTATTTATGTTACTATATTTTTTAATCAGTATAACAATTATTAGGATGCTCCAAACTTTCTCTACATCATTGTGTACAAATCTTAGTGTTTACAATATTTCCCTAGATCATTGTGTACAAATATACAATTTTACTCAATAAAATTATCTTTCCATTTCTTATAATAATTAGATTATTAGTTTGTTATTACATATAATTTTTTAAGTGTTAAATCATACTTAGAAGACTACTAAAAATAATTATAAAATTAAAAAATCCCAATAAGTGGGCAAGCAGGACAAGCAAGCCAACCCGTGTCATGACCTGCCTTGCTTTTTCCTGGACCCGCAAGTGGGTTGGGTTGAGATCTAGGCTTGGGAACAAGTGGCTAAAAATGCCTCACCGGTTCCATTGTGAGCCACAAGATGGCTTGTTTCACACTGGAGCCACACGGGCCGGCTCATGGGACGAGCTGACAAAGCCCGCTGCTCACATCTAATTAGAATGTTAATATTTAATCATGTTATCGTACTAAATTATTTTGAAACTTGGAGGACTCTAATAGTTCTACATTTTGCCACCGATGCATTATTCATATGCAGAGTGCTAAAACACATTTTTTGATTGTCATATTGAAAATTTCATGATTATAATCAAATTTAATGATTATAATCATTGTATATTATTACACATGTCAATCATATGGTAAATATACATGTATTCAATGAAACAAAACACTAATTAGTCTTAATCAATTTCCTCCATGAGCATTTATGTACACACAAGCTTTGATGAGATTTGAGCAGTGTGACGATAGTGCTTGGCTGGTGAGATCTATGTAATCTCAAATGTGAACGAGTGCGAACAAATGACTACACTAGAAATCGACCATATCAAATTTCTTAATCTCTAATAATGCAATGCATGACGCACTAAGGTAATTGTCTCAAGGATCGCGTGCTTCACGGCCTATTTTTGGCACTTGTTGTGCCCTCCATGAGGTTAGGACGCATCAAGTAAGTGAGGCGTGTGGCTCAGTGCACCTTGATGTGCCTCAATATTCTACTACTATATCCTCTTATTTCTTATTTTCCACAAGCTCTTTTGTCATCGTTCATGCATTCTCTTTCCTCTCTTCCGCTCTAATTCTTGCTATTCCCTCCACTTCTTTTGTCCTCTTTTCCTTTTTCTTACTTGTTCTTGCTATTGCTACATCAAGAATATTAATTGTGACCCCACAAACTATTATTCTAGATACAAACGTCAACAATCATTAACACCCTTTTGCCAAAGGCTTAAGAAAGAGGAATGAAGGAGAATGATTCGCCTAGTTAGCTCGTTAGTTAGCATGAAGAATTAAATTAATGAACCTATTAGGTAAGATTTATTTTAATCTGTGTGCTCTTTTTAGTTTTCAAGAATAGTGGGAAATGGGAATCATAACTATTTTCTTTATAAATAAATAGGTTATCTCTTAAGAGATAGATTTAAACCCCTTATTTTAAGGGATTATCTAAAAAGGTAGATTAGTGAACCCCTTATTTTAAGGGATTAACTCATTTTCTTCGTTCTTGAGAGGTTGTCTTAGCCCATTCCAAATTATGTGCTTGGCAAATTAAGACAGATTAACTCGATTTACACACTCAGTAAATTTTTTTTGTTTGGCAGAATGGCAGGTTAACAAAGGGTTCTCTCTCCTTAACCTCTCAACAAATTTTGAAAGAGCATCATAGGGTTATATTTTTCCTTTACTTTTCTACTCCTTTTCTCTTCAGTCTTCTGCTTCATCATTTGACTATTCATCATCTTTTGCTTTCTTATTTTCTTCCTCTTTCACTATAATTCTTCTTAGTTATTATGTCTTTTGTCAATGCATTTGGTGCTTGTCTCATCTTTCTTCTCTTCTATGATCTTTGATTCTTTTCTTCTACCTCTTCTCTACATCCTATCATTTCTTTTTCTTAATGTTTCAATGTTGCTCTCTATATATTTTGGGAAGCCACTTTTACATGATTACAGATTCTTAACCAATACTATAGTAAGAAAATTCTCGACATAAGAAAGTTCCAAAATTAATAATTATCATATAGTAAATTAATTTAATTCACCTTAGATTTTAAATTACAATCATCTTCAAAATCTTAAGGAAACATGTTAAAGCCTCACTTTAGTGAGGCACACACCTCGCATTGCGCCTTGCGGATCATGCACGTTAAGGTCTTTGAGTGTTGCTTTGTTCCTTGCACTATATCTGCCTAGTTTCAAAAACAAACTGTTGGTTATGTTTCCTTAACTTATAGCTTTTAGCACACCCATATTTTATTCTACTGGAAACAGTGTCCCGCAAACTTTATCCAGTGCTTCAAATGAAGTGTTGAAGCAAATAGTAGTCAACAAATAAGTAAGAGTGACGTAAAGAAGAACATTATGAAGATAGTATAAAACCAATCCCTCCTTCTATTGTTCCATTTAACAATAATTATGCCCTTGATAAAAACAGAAAACATAACTATCAACCCTATAAAAAACAGTAAACAATCTGAAACTTAAAGTTACATATGACAGTGATTTAAAACTTGATATCACAACAAAACAGAAAGGCCATGGATCTGACCTCCAAATGAAGCACTGACCGCCTCCTCACGCCGCCCCTCTCTTCAATCTCACCGACTAGTCATGCTGGCCTGAGGATCCAGCTTCTCCATCACCTCCAATGGCTTCGCGGTCTCATTCCTAATCCTCCTAATCTTTGCACTCGCCAACTCTTTATGAGCAAACCCGTAAAATCTCAACACCTGATTGTCGGCAAAATTGAAAGCTCTCTCCATGCTACTCAAACACCTCTCAACAGGATAATCCCCGTAACTCCCACAAGGCTTGCAACCCACAAAATGAGTCACAAACGGCCATCTCTCATCACCTAAACCCGGATGATACTTCTCCATCATCTCTTCATACCTATCCACAAGCCCAGCCCAATACCCGTGAAGATAGTATGAATTCTCAATGTAAACTTTATCCCCCCATTTATCCTGCTGAGACAACAGCAAGTAAATCAATGCAGATTGATCATCAGCCTCAAATGCCGGCCGCCCCTTAAGATTTGCCGTCAATATCCTCCCCGCCTCCTCTCGAACCGGTCCTTTTGGACCCATGGGCGCCCACGCATCAAGCAAATCAAGCGACCACTGACAATTTCTAAACAAGAAGCTACCAGTGTTCAGTCCAATCCAAGAATGCTGGTCGAAGATCAAATCCGGGTACCCGTGAACCACCAAATTGCGCCCTTTGTACTTCGAAAGCGGGATCTCAAACGCCATATCGGTAAACAAGGCATCCGAATCCATCCACCAGATCCACTCAACTTCCGGATGCGAAAGCATCAGCTTCCGGAGCAACGGGAGCTTCGCCCAGTACCCCGCAAGCTCCTTATCGAGATGCGCCATGTTATAAACGATCTCAATTCCATGTATCCGACAGTAATCGATCTTGTTCTTCGTCGATTTGAGAAGATAGTGATCTCCTATCGGGTTATCGCAGGGATTGGGCGGAGACCCGGTAACTGTTCTTCGTCGATTTGAGAAGATAGTGATCTCCTATCGGGTTATCGCAGGGATTGGGCGGAGACCCGGTAAC